GTATTTATTTATTTATTTATTTATTTATTTATTTATTTATTTTGGAATTCACTCTCAGAATGTGTCAGAATCTGTTGTTGGACCTGGCCACATTCATACGCACACATTGAATGCGTTGCTTCATGCGGGTCATTCCCCACAAAAGGTTGCATTTTAGCACCTAAAATCCTTTTGATGGATTTAGTAGTGCACTCTGTCAACCATTTTATTTTTACGGTGACTGGATCCTGTCCATTAAATCAGAAGATGCAATAACACAGTGAAGGAGCTTCACCTATTAAAAATACTCTTTGGTTGGAAGCTGTAAGAGTCACGCAGAGAGGTRTTGACCAGTGAGGAACACTCCATCCACGTCCGTCTCACCCTCTGAAGATGCTAAAAGGAAAATGGAGTTTGCTCACCGATCCAAGCRTTTTAAAAGGATGACTTTGCCCTCYCCTGGCACATCTCGTTGCGTTTGGTGCTGAGGGAGTCTTTCCTTCAACAGCTCATTTAAACTGCAAGTGCCGATCTTAGATGAGTCATCAGGTGCTAGTTCCTATTTGTCATTGTCTGTAAGCCAGAGTTTATTGAGCACCAGGAATCCAACTTTTAAGATGCCTGATAAGTAAGGCTTGTTAAGCTTTCCTTTGAAAGGCATCATTAATTCTCGATAAGCACTCTAAGTCTACAAGAACAGGAAGCCACTCTGATTTTCTGGCAGGCAGAGCAAAGAGAAGGAGTAGGTTCAAAGACAAAAGGAGAATAACCTCAATCCTGCAGTCTTCTTTGTATTTATTAAAGCATACATGAATTTATTAAATACCTTTATGGGCATTTTATTAGGAATCTCTTAGTCTAATTCTTCACATAATAGATGAAAAAAACTGAGCATTTTAAAAGACCAAGAACAAATAAGTTCAGAAAGTCCACCCAGCAAAACGTGAACAGAGAAATGGAGAGAAGTGAAGTGTACAGACTCATCAAACAAACAATGCTAGTGTTAGCTTTCTCGCTTGATTAGATGCTGTATTGGCCAAAAAACAGAAGCAGCAAGTTAATGCCGTTGGCAGTCTATGGCCCCCTGTGGGTGGGGGTGATTTCCTCCAGAGATGTGCTTGGGTCAGCGCAGTGCCCACTCACCCACCCTATCTGTTTTCTTTCTGTCTGTCTCACTGTGTTGAGTTGGCACAAGTTATGATGGTCCTGTGATAAGAACTCAAGGTCAGAGGCAGGGGAGACCACTTGCAAGTAAATGAACTGCACTGAGCCAATTATATGCAGAACACCATCACTTGCTTTGTTTTTTCTTCTTTTTTGTTGCTCTTTTCATTCACCCTGTCTTCCTTCACCCTTCTTTTTCTCCTCTCCTTTTACATTTTTTTTCCTTCACCACCTGCTCCCCTAGCTTTTTTTTTCTCCTGCTGTCACTGTTCTTGTCACTGGTTGTCACTGGTTTTGACCTCAGATGGATATCGGCACCGTGTGTGAAGCAAAACAACAAGCAAACACAAAAAATGAGACAAAAAGGCAATTTTTGATGTTATTTTAAACATATTACCATAATTTAATCCTTCTGTGGTTTTAAATATTTGCAGTGTAGTAATTAGATCATTGATATGCCAGCTGCATTGTAACAGCTTGTTGTACCATCGCACACTTTGCTATGACTGGGTTTGACCACTTCTGCCTTAAGAAATGCCTTAATTCTTTACAGTTTAGATTTAGCAGGTGTTGGAATCATTCTTTAAATATATTGGTCCATTTTGAACAGGGGTGTCAAGTAACCAAGTACAAATACTTTGTAACTTTACTTAAGTAGAAATTGTGTTTATTTATACTTAACTGAAGTAAATCTTTTTCAGCAAACCTTTTACTTGTACTCAGATTTTCATGCAATTATCAATTACATTTTAAAAATGCAAAAAGGATTTAATTTCAATTTCACTTCAGCTTGTTTTCATTCTAGTTTTTCATCGTACAGAAAAAAAATACTAATAAAAACATCCAAATACATTATAAGACGCCTCCTGCTG